AAATTTTTTTTTAAATATAATAAATTTTTAAAAAAATAGATCAGATATAACAATTTTAACATTTTAGCAGCTAAATACACCTGCTAACTTGAGATGGTTTAAGGGATATATTAAAAAACTTCATATCGGCAAACTAGCTAAATATCCTAATTTTGTTTAATTAAATTAATATAACAAGAGCTTATAGTAATATAGTTACATATACTATAATTACAAAAAAGGCCGTGGCTTTGTCACAAAATGAATTTTATTTAAGATATCCTAATATTAGCTAGTTTAAATTTTTGAACAGGTGGCTTGATGCATTCTTTGAGCAATATAATTTCTCTAATAGATGCAGAACAACAATAGCTCAACATCTTGCACAAAATTTAATTAAAAAGCAACAGTCTTTTTTAAATTATATATTATATCATAGAATCTAACATGATTATCCCTTACAATATATTTGTAATATAGATAAAATGCCTCTTTGGTTTGATTTATCAAACAATAGTTCTATTGATATAAAAGGCAAAAAATCAATTAGTATTTGTATTACTGGTCATGAAAGATCTTCTTTTACTATTATGCTTGTATGTACAGCTGTAGCACTAAGCTTCTGGCTGTTTGTATTTTTAAATTAAAAATATTCCTCATGAAGATTTTCCACCTAATATTTATATTCGAGCTAATAAATTAGGTTGGGTAAATAAGAATGAAATATTATGGTAGATAGAGATAGCTTGGACTTCAAGAAACTATCGTTTAAACAACCCTCGATCAATATTATTATTGGATACATTTCATACACATACTATGAATTCAATAAAAAGCCGATTAGTAGAAAAATATGAATCTTGTTGTTATCCCATTAAGTTGCACTTCAAAATTACAACTTTTGAATGTTGCAATTAATAAAAGTTTTAAATCTAAGGTAAATTTTTATTTTTATTTTCTTTTATTTGCTTTATTATTATATAATATTAATTTATATATGTTGATATTGAAGTTCAAAAAATATTACAATATATGAATATCATCTATGATTCATATTTTTATACTATTAGGTCATATTAAAAGACCTTTATACTTAACTATAGCAACTTGGGTTAGAGATTTATGAGATAGAGCTAATACAGATCTTATTAGAAGATCATTTAAATGTTATGAGATCTCGATACAAACTGATAGTTTTAAGAATGATATGCTCTTTAACTATGATAGTTTGTTAGAGCAAATTGAGGATATGAATATTGATGATAATAAACATAATAATAAATATCTTGAAGATGATGAATATAAAAATGAATGACGTATTATAAATGATAGCCAAAATAACAATGCCGATGAAGAAAACAACAATAACAAGAGTGATGAAATAGATTTAGATCTTAATTAATATTTTATTGAGGGTTTTTTTTTTTTTATCAAAAACTAATTCTATTTTTTTTTTATATATTTTATTAGAATGCAAATTTATTTATTCTTTAATATTTAATTAATAATTTATATTAATATTTATTGTGGCAGATTAAATTGAAATTCAGATTAAAATGAAATAATAATATAAAATAAACTAATAAACTAATAAACTGTTCTATAACAATATACAAATATTGGATATAATTATAAAGACAAATAAAAT